AATTGTACAGCCAGACCTTCATATTTAGAGGGGATCTGTTCCAGACCCCTGCCCTACAGATATGAAAAAATGCAGGACCTCAAGTCCCATTGTTTCTAATGGTGGCATGATGTGTGCCCAGAAGCTAGTGTGGCTGTGTGCACATGTTGCTATTGGGGGACAATGGAGCTTGCCATCTATGGATGCTCAAATCATGGATGGCAATCATGTGGATGGCAAGGCTATATTTCCACTGTATTTCCACATTTCCTGAGGATTTATGTGACTGCAATGCTAGAAATTTGGGAAACGAATGCCAATATCTTTGGGGTGGCCAGAATTTGCCTAAGACTGCATATTGAGAACTACTTGTCCAAGCATGCAGGATTCATGGCAGGAGCAGGACTTGATCAAGGCCACTGGTAAATGTGCTGCAACCTATTGCATGCTCTCCACTTCATGGTCAGTGGCTGGAACTGGAGACTGAAACACAGTTAGGAAGAAGTTCTTGACCAGACAATGAAAACATCCTCTGAGAAAATCTTGCCTAGAAAACCCCATGATGGGTTTACCTTAGAACCATTAACTGCACACAGTAGCAGACAAACATGACGAAATTCATGGGGATTTTTCATGAGCAATTTCACCATTTTACCAGTTTTAATGTAATAATTTAGGCACCCTCTGAAGCTGTCAGATCTTTTACCTCAGGGGGAAAATCATTTACATTTTTTTTTAAATTTTGCTTCCAGTGACAACTGTGGGTTTTCAAAAACAACCTTGGGAAATGTTGTTGGCTGCCTCAAAACTTGTTTCCACTTCTATTGAAGTTCCTTAGATATTTTGCTTGAGGTGGAACCCTCCAATCTTCTTTGGTAACAAACTGAAGGTATATGAAATCACTCTTGGAAATTTTGCTACTTTAAAAAAATCATTTTGGTGTCTCTCCATGAGTCAGATGCTTGTCCTAGGGAATCTTTTCCTTCACATTTTGCTTCAGGCAAATGTCTATTGGCAATTCTAGCCTAGGCTAGTTTTGAACCATACCTAAAGCTAACCATGGAACAGTGATGCTTAATACTATCTACATTTTTCGGACCTGCCTTGGTTAATATGCATCTTCCAGTATGAATTGCACCTTCTTGTGGCAAAGGGATAGGACATAGTATTATTATTTATTACCAGCTTAGCACAGTAATAACATTCTCAGAGAGCCGACTAGACAAAATGAGTCAAAGGCAATGCAGGAATATCTAGAGGAACCAATGGAAGAGAAGTTATAAATAACTTTTCATTATCCTAATAATAACTTGTGTGCGTGGGTGCATTTCTTTAACTTTGACCTTGGTTTAAATAAAGAGAATTAATAATAAAATAAAAGGAATTCAGTTTTGTTTTACAATGGAGGCTTATAATTCAGTTTCTGCAAAGGCCCTACCGTGCATGAAACTGCATTTGAAAGAGAAAGAAGGGGGAAGCTATAACAATGCAGAGATGCTGAGCCAATATATAACGGTCTCCTGGAGTGAATGATTGGATGATAGCTAATAGCAGAAAGTTTGCAATGGTACAAGATTATCCTCTGATAATTCTTCAGTTCTGACTGTGGATGCCTGATAATCCTGTGAGCCTCTAATCTGTAGCATCTGAATCTATAAAGAATGACAAGGAAAAAAACTTTACAATCAATTATAGTTACTGCTACGGAACCATTAGCGAGTAGTGAAACAAATATGACCTTATAAAACTTCAAAGTCACAGGGGAAAGCACAGAGAAAAGGGGATGGGAAAATCAGCATTTCTTGAAATTCACAATAAATGCTTGCCTCTTTCAAATCTTTCCTTTCAGGTTGAAAAAAAAATGATTTGTAAGGTGCTTGTCTTATGGGAGATAGAAAGTCCTCCTTCTTCCTAACCCGATTAGCTAAAACTTAGCAGGAGATGTGTTCACTTTTCAGAAGGATAGAGGGGTTACATGGGGTGATCATCTTTCTCCTCTTTCCAAATAAAATATTTTGTAGATGGCATTTGTGGTAAAATGATATCTCATCTGCTTTGGGTGTACATTTCTTTTCATGACTTTTCCAGTTTGCATTGCTCTATTGTCATTCTCCTTTGGAGGTGCAACTACAAAAAAATTGCCTATTCAATCAAAACATCTAAGAAACCACTGTATGGTTTCATTGGATTTTGAGTACTGCAATGTTTAAAAGGAAATTAGAGAGTCCTATTCAATATTAACATCTGAGAAAAGTAGAGAGAATGCATTTCTCTAGGGAATATAGTTGCACATCTGTAATGAATACCAGTCAATGTACAAATAAGTTATGGTCACATGCATCATGCTTCTGCTGATATGCCAATGACATTTCTAAAATGTGAATTTAGCGTACCCTGAATTAAGTTCACCACAAGGCATTGTTTCAAGTTTTATCTGGGAGAAAAGTGAAAGGATATTCTAGTTGCTCTGATTTAGCTTGAAATATTGTAACCATGATTTCATGTCAAACAGAAGAATGCCATGATTTCATGTCAAACAGAAGAATGTTGAATGCTTTACTAAAAAGAACAAAGAGAAGCTGGAGCATCTTGGAAAAACAGAGGTGTTGTTGTTAGAACAATGTTCTTTTAACAGTTGCAAAAATATTTTGTATGGCTAAGATTGCTGAGATTGCTAAATAACAATACTTGACATGATGCAAAGGCTTGCAATAGCAATTGCATCATGTTAAGTGGCAACAGGTGATGACCATTAAGCAACTCTCTATACATGTGCACTAAGATTCAATGCATGTGTGGGCTGGCAGGTTTGTGAGTTCGATAGTTTGTGAAGCATTACTTAGTTACTATGGACAGTGAATGTTGACAGGAGTCAGGAGGAGAGTTTGTAAATACTTGCATATATTGCAATTCATGATAAAGTGCATCCAAGTCTCTTGGTATCTCTGGTGGGACTAGAGTTTTGTTTTTGTTACTGCACATCAAGCAGGACATAGAAGAGAGCCAACAGTTGTAACCCCCAAAAAGAAAGGGAGATGAATACATTTTATTTATGTCTATTCTTTGATTTTACTTTTATGTAAATGCATAACTCTTTGCTTGTGTGACTATGGAAGGTATGATTTTTATTTCTGCTCTTTGCATCTTTTTGGTGTATGTGAAGCTAATAGACAATATGCTATGCATTTCATGTCAAAGACTAAACCTAGATATAGCTGTCGGGAAGACAAGTTCAGGGCATTGCTCCCCAAACAAACAAACAAAAACTTCTGCTCTCGTTCCAACAGCTAAAGAAAGGTTTTCCATAATCCCAGCAGCCACTACTATGACCTCTGGAGGGAGGGGAGAACAGGCAGACACAGCTCCATTGTGCCTAGGTTCAGAAGCAAAAGGAAGTCCTTTCCTTCATCCCAACTGCCACTGCTGTGGCCTCAGAGGGCGAGATCAGATTCAGAAGTCAATATCTACAGGTCTTGATCCACTCCCAAATTGTCATTCCCTTTTCCTTGTGGTACATCTTTTTAGCCTGTGGGCAGGGAACTATCAAAATTGCATGTACACCCCATCATGTACATTGATGGTGCTACATAAACAGACTATTCTGGTGATGTGGACAACAAATGCAATGTCTTCTGGTAGCCTTGTTTCATATCCTTGGCTTTGTATATTTCTCACCATCCCTTGGCTGTAAACTAATCTTTCCAGCAACTCCCTTCTTGGTTTTGTCCTATGCTCAGGACTATTTGTTTTGTTTGACTTTGGATCATTTGGATTATGTATCTGCTTCTACAGACCCTAGTATCACTTTGGACAAGATTGGCTCTCCCTTGGTTAGCCTCTATGGGCTGAAATTGTATACTTTTCAATGCCTGCCAAGTACAAAATAGAACATCCCCCAAATTTATAACAAATAACAGCATAGACATGTTCTTTCCATATTAAGGATTAAGATCAGTTCAGAGCATCCAATTGGCTTCTGACATTGTAGCTGAGGTAACTGTTCACTGAATCTCCTCAGCGATGCAATACTGAATCAAAGTTCCCATTATGTTTACCGCAATTGAATATCTCCGTGGCATTTTAACCCCAGGGTTATACCCAGATATGTCACCAGTGGTACTCAAGCCATCATTACTTGAAAGAGGAGCACCTCAAAAAGTTCAGAAAGCTGCAACCAAGACTGAAAACAAGTTACAAACATCTCATATGTATATTACAGTATGTCTGGTTTGAAGAAAGGAGTCAGTTCTTTTTCCTCTCCAAAGTAACACTAGCACACAGGTTAATAATAATAATAATAATAATAATAATAATTTGATACCCCGCCCCTCTGTGCGCAATCGGGGCGGCTTACATCCTAAAATCAATAAACAATGGTTAAGAACAATTTCCTCCCCCTCCCCCCCTTAAAAAGTTATTAAACCAATTACAATGTAAAACACAATATAAGGAGGTAAATTCCTCCATATAAGAACACAAAAGCAATACATAAAAGGAAAGAAAATACAGGCAGATATATAAGTATCGGCTTATATAAGGTTAATCCAATGAAGCTACATATTGGGATAGTTACAAAAATTAAAAAGAAATACTTTTTTCAACAATTCAAAATTGAATTTAGAATTTTCATGCCTGTGATTTTTTGTATTTGCAATTCACAATTTTAACTTTGTGGCTTTTTAAAAAGTAAGATTGTTAGCTGCCCCAAGCAATTTTGAGGAAGGACAGCGTATATAATCAGTATAATCAATCAGTCAATCAATCAAAGTAAATTATTAGTCAAAGTGTGGAATTAACAAGAAGTGCTAATGACCATTTATTTGGATAGTTTTAAAGGGTAGTCAGTGCAATTCATGGAAGTTAAAGCTGTCAGGAGCTCCCAGTCACAACCAATAACTATACTCCTTTTGATATTAGAGGTAGCATATATTTGTGTACCAGTTGGTGGGGAACATGAGCAGGAGAGTGCTATTGATCTCATGTCTTGCAGATGGACTATGGTTATTGTGGGAATGTAGTGAGCCAGTATGGTGTAGTGGTTTAAACATTGGACTATGACTCTGATGGCCAGGGTTTGAATCCTGGCTCAGTTATGGGAACCCATTCAGTAATTTTGAACAAGTCACATTCTCTCAGCCTCAAGGGATGGCAATGGCAATGGCAATAGAAATAGCAATAGCAAGTACATTTCTACACTGCTTATTAGTGCACTTAAGCACTCCCTAAGCCAGGGGTAGGCAACCTTTCCCCTTTAAGGGCCGAGGGACTTCAGCTCCCAGAAGCCTCAGCCATGTTGGCCAATAGTCCCATGTTGGCCAATAGCTCCTGGGATTCTGGGAGCTGAAGTCCCTCAGCCCTTAAAGGGGAAAGATTACCTACCCCTGCCCTAAGCGGTTTACAATGTGTAAGCCAATTGCCCCAAACAAGCTGAGGAACTCATTTTAGTGACCTCAGAAGGATGCAAGCCTGAGTTGAGCCTGAGCCCCTTGCTGGTATTCAACTTGAAATCTTATGGTTTGTGAGTGAGTGGCTGCTGTACAGGCATTTAACCACTGCACCACTAGGGCTCCCTGACCCTGAAGAAACCTGACAAGAAAACTCCATGATAGGGTCACTTTAGAGTTGCCATAAGTCAGAAATGACTTGAAATCACACAGCAACAACAATTCAATAAGAAAGAACCCTCCAGACTGATCCATATTCAGGTCTTCTCTATATCCATGAGAGGGGTGGTAGCATAAAGGTAAGCTCCCTGCAACCTTCCCATTTTATGTGGACATACTGGCATGTTACTATTGCTATAATGTCCCTTAGGCAAGCCTCTGCAAAATGGATGACATGAAATTTGAGTGAATTTTCATAGAACCTTAGATTTGGAAGGGGCCACAGTTATAGTTCATTTATTTATAGTTCTCTGTCTGGAACTAACCAGCAGGTTTCCAGCCACTGATTCCAAGACAGAGCAAGAAGAGAAAGGCCTGGACAAGAACAAATGTACATGACCCTGAGAGCTACTCAGTTGTTCAGCAAGGAAGAAGATACCCTGAGTCTATATGCTCAGGCATCTTATACCAAGGCAGGGTATAAGTATTATTATTAAAGTACACACATCAAATAAACAGAAATAAAAGAGAAGCAGACAAAGGTAGGTGAAGTCTTGTTCTGATAAATGTAGTTTTCAACATGCAAAGCCTACTGCTTCTTTTTTTCCCCCTGTGTGGACAGAATGCTAGATTAGGATTGGGAGACCCAGGTTCAAAACTTGACTCTCTTAGAAACTCACTGCAGGGCCTTGGCTTAGTCATTGTCTCTCAAGCCAACTGACCTCACAGGTCTATAGAGGTGGAAGCAGAGGCATCTCTTCACTGAGAAATTTGGAGAGGGAATTCAAGATAAAAAACAAACAAAAACACAATAAGCAAATAAATCTGATCTTCTCCAAAACTATGATTGGGATGGGGGTTGGGGGTTGGGGATTGGGAAGGGACTAATTTTGCATTTTATTATATTCTATGTACCGGTATTTTTATTGCTGTAATCCGCCCAGATTCCTTGTGATTGGGCGGGATATAAATTATTATTATTGTTGTTGTTGTTGTTGTTGCTATTATTATTATTACAGCACTCCTGAAATATGTCAATCCAACTTCTGTTTAAAGACTTCACTACAGTCTACCACCCTCTATGGCAATCTATTCCACATACAGTATTATAAAAATGTTCTTACTAATGATTAGATGGAATTCTTTTTCTTGTAATTTGGATCCATTGGTTG